GGGGGGGTGAGGGGCTGCTGGCCCCAGAGCCACCCCTGGCACCGGTTCTGCCCTCCCCTGGAATGAGTACACCATCCTGCCCTGCTCCTTTGTCATTGGCATTCACGGCTACGTCCTGGTGTACTCGGTGACCTCCCTGCAGAGGTGAGGGACCCAGCCACCCTCCCTGCCAGGCTGTCCCCACACCCTCGGGGGCTGGGCCCTCATGATGGGAGCAGTGCCCAGATCTCCCCTTTTCTCAACAGCTTCCAGGTGGTGAAGACCCTTCACAACAAGCTGTAGGAGAGCTGGGGAAGGTGCTGTCCCTCCTGGGGAGGGGGGGCGGCGGCGGCCAGGCCCTCACCCTCCCCCTGCCCACAGCATGCCTGTGGTGCTGGTGGGGAACAAGGCAGACCTGCCTCTGCAGAGGAAAGGAGGGCCCTGGGTGTCCCTGGCCCCTCCTGGGCTCTCCCCCTGCCTGAGGACCCAGTGGCCTGTCCTGCCCATCTTCTGCTGTGTCTCCAGCCAGGAGGTGAAGATGGATGAAGGGAAGAAGTTGGCAGAGTCATGGGGTGCCATCTTCCTCGAGTTCCTCAGCCAAGGAGAACCAGGTCTGGGGCAGGGTGATGGATCCCATCCAGGGCTGGGAGCAAGGTCCCCAGGATGCAGGGGCTGATGTCCCCTTGTCCTCAGGTGATCCAGGAGATCGTCATGAAGATCATTGAGGAGATTGGGTGGATAACTCCTATGTCAGACTGACCGGCTGCTGCCTGATGTGAGCCCTGCCAGGGGCTGATCCATGGGATGGGAGAGGTTTGCCATGGGACCTTCCCCCAGGCTACAGTGGTGGCTTCAGGGGGGGTCTGGGGCCACGTGGTCCTGCTGTTGTACAAGACCCCTCACTTTGCACAGGCTGTGGGGCTCATGAGGGGTTGGGAGCTGGGTGGGGGTCCCATCCCAGCCAGGGAGCACCCCTTGCTCCTAGCTGCTCCCTCCCCCAAGGACACGCTGGGACTGTTTCCCCTCTGGCCGCGGAGAACCAGGGCTGAATGCAGGTGGTGTTCCCGGCACAGGGCTGTGGTCTGGCTGTGCTGTGTTGGCAGCCATCGCTCGTGGGAGTTGGGGCTGTGGGGCTGAAACAATTAAACATTGTTTTGTCTGTGAACCCCCCTCAGAGCCTGGGCAGGGGCTGGGGGGGCTGTTCCTGCTGGGGAGGCAGAGTGGGAAGGTGAGGCAGCATGTGGGGATCCCCCAACACCCCAGCATTGAACTCCCCCCAACCCCAAATGCACTGTGGGGCAGAGCTCTTCATACACACACCCCATGGGGCTGAGCACCCTGGGGTGCTCTGCAGCCCCATTCCACCCAGAGAGCCACAGCCTGGGCTGGGTGAGTGTGGAGGGCGCTACGCTCCCGGGGTGCCCAGCCTGGCTGTGGTTCCCCATGTGGCTTATCTCCACCCAGTCAGGCTAATTACTGCTAATTACCCAATTATGCTGTTAGAGAGGAGCGGGGAGCTGCTGAGCAGGGAATTGGGGTGTTGGTGCGGGGGGGGGGGCTGCTCTGTGCCCCCATGGTCAGTGCTGGGATGGAGAGGGGAGTGGGGCCTGGGGTGTTGCAGCCTGGGGTCCCGCCCCCCCTCCCTTCCCCGGGTTTGGGGGCTTCACCCACCTTATACCTGTCCGTGGGACCCCGGCGCTGTCCTGTCCCTGTCGGGGGACCCAGGCTGTGACTATAGCAAATGGCTGTAATCAGCTATTCAGCCAAAGCCTACAGGATAAAAATATGTCCGCAGACTTTCTTTTATTGAAGCTTTCCCACACAATGCCAAGGTATTTATTGATTATTCCCTTCCCTGTTCAGTGGGAAGAAATGCAGGTTCTGCACGTGGGCCAGGACAAGCCCCTGGGTCAGCAGGGGCTGAGACCCACCTGCCTGTCCAGGCATCCTGCTGAGGGGCTTGTGCTTGGGGCTGAAAGGCAGAG